AGTACGAAGGCGAATGTCCGGCGCTTTAACCGGGTTAGTGGACACGACGTGCCCACCTAAGGTAGCTGGTAAATCCTCATTCCAAGCCAATAGTGCACATGGGTTCCAGTATCTTGAGGAAACAAATGACGTATGAATCAATTGTTGGATCCATTTTGCGAGTGAAAATCCCTCCATGCACACATTTGTGATTTCTTCCTTACGTTTTCTTTATTTGTATATGTTGTTAACATTTTGATGCTAATTAAGATTGTAACGTTTAATTTTCTTGGTTTTATTATCCTTTTTTTTGAGTCTCTATGTTCCTTACTGAACTGTATCTAGTTTGTTTTAATTGTTATTGTTCTAGCGTCTGCCATATTGACTACTCGCTATTTGGTTGTGTGGTTTGATTTTGACTGGGATCGTGCATTTTTGGTTGTAATTTGGAGCACTTTCCCAGATATTGAAACACTTTGTGTTATAAAGCAGCTGTTCAGACGGAATTTGACTTGATCTATCCAGAAAGGATAGAATAACGCTTACCTTTTGGTGTTTTCCGTAATTTTCATATATTTCTCACCACTTTGCTATTTATTGTAATTTAGATTTAATATTTTGGTATCAATTGTCGGTTGAATAACTGGGTAGTAATATTTGTTTAGGTAATTTCGTACATTTGTATATATGATGAGATTTAGAACCGTTACTACATCAAACATTTTGTTTTGATTTCAATTGAAACGAGTCTCTAAACTTTTACTAGAGTTATTCAACTACATCCAGACCTATTGGAATTTAGATTTGGATCTTACATCATCTTTGGTCACCGGCCATTACGGGACTGCATCTCCGGACGATGATCCACTGCCTTGTGGATCAGAATTTCAGGTAAAAGGCTCCGTGTGTAGCCCCATAACAAGACCACCTGCTTCAGTTTGTGCACCTGGGCAGTATCACAGCCTTCACACACGTCAAATGAGTTTTGTGTGGCGCATATATATCTAGTGCCGTTTGTACCAATATTTATGTGTTTAAATAAAATAAAACATCCGAATTGTAACCAAAATTAAGCTCATTTAGGACTATTGTATCGTATTGAACAAGTTTCCCACAAGAAACAGATACATTACGAAGACAAATAACATTTGATATGACATCAGGATCTGATTCATCTGGAACATTTTCTTCAAATTTATTAGGAATCTTATTGAAGAATCATGGATAATTAGGAAAATCAGCACCTATGAAAACTGATTCAGATTTTCAATCATGATCCGATGCTTTCAACATATATTCCTCAGATTTATAAGAAATTTCAATAGAAATATACGAATAATTGGAACAAATGTTATCTGGTCCAATAACATGAAAAATCCGATAAGAAGTTGAGTGACTAGAAAATTTTGCCTCACAATGATTCTGAGTGTCATTTAATTCTTACTGCTATGTGACTCGATACTGCTTTTCGAAGTCGTGGATAAAGATAAATAATCAATGGAAACACTCACTTTAATAGAATGAGAGTTACAACGTTTAACATTACTTTCAGAGAAATGGACAATAGTTAAGTATACTGACTGAATGTGACTAATCTTACCACATTTAAAACATTTAGTATTATGAAATACACATGAATTACATGAGTGAAATCTGCCACGGAAGAAACACGTGACAAACTTGTGACGGTGGCTGGATAAAAAGGAAACGGGATCTTCTGACACGTGCCGGGAAATGCCTACCCTGGTGAAATCTTTGCAGCATTTTCGCCACTACATCACAGAACGCAACTCCGTCTGTAGCTCATCTAGAGTTACTGCCGGTCCCATGCCCGGGTAAAGGAGGAATGTTGGGCATGGGGTTAGCGACCCCATCCCGTAGAAGAGCTAGCTCGCTAAAAAACGCTAACCAGAAAAAATAATTCAAACCATTTAAACTCTGCCCTGGGAGTTGAAGGAAAAATTATGACGCCTCATGATGAAAGTCGAAATTTTTCGGAAGTCACGATATTGATGCACCTTCTAACAACCAGAGCAACATTCTTTATTGGTACATGGAACGTCCGGACAATGTGGGAGACAGTGAAGACCAGTCAAATAGCAATGGAAATGAGGAGATACAACTTGGCAGTACTCGGAATCAGCGAAATCCATTGGACACAAACTGGACAACAAAGGCTAGGTACAGGAGAGATGCTGCTGTACTCCGGTCACGTGGCTCATTGTAGATATAGACTGTTCTCCGATCATTTCAGGCTACATGTGTTTCAAAAGTGACAGAGTTATAAGTCGCAAGAGAGGAGGCATGTTGTGGGTTACGGATAACTTTCGCGTACAATCGATCATATCGGAGCCGCATGTTAGTGAAACATGTGAGGTAGCATGTTGTACAATTATGTCTAGAAACGGGTTAGTGGCTATAGGAGGAATATATCGTAGTCTGTATTGTCTTGCCGACGACTATCTTCAGACATGCCTGTTCTTGGAGTAAGGCAGAATGTTGTCTCATCATTGGATACTTCAACGCACCAGATATCAACTGGATAGAGCTCGCAGCTTCAGTTGGGGGTTTTGATAGCGACCTATTACCAACAATTTTTCAGTGTGAACTTGTACAATGTATCGTAAAACCGACACATATTGACCTGGAGCATGATCCGGCATTGCTAGACTTTGTCCTCACACACCAATGTGAAGATGTCGTCGACATTCAGCACCTTCTCCCATTAGTGAATAGTGACCACGTTGTACTTTTCTCTATGTGTAGAATTCGCTTCTGCTCCACCCCGTCCTTATATCTGGAGAGGTAGTATTCCGGCAATCAGAGACTGTGCTGTCTCGATTGACTGGTCGGTCGATGCTGATGGATCGATCGAAGATGAATGGAATGAGTTTAAGGCTACATTCGAGTCCGTAACTCAACCCTTTATCCCATGGGATTTGTTCTTGTCAATAGGACAGGCATAATTTAAGTGCGAATATAAAATCCGGGATATATGTAAAGAAACCATAGCTAAATTCTGGACCACTTACGAACGACAGTGCGCATATGATAGCCGTACTTGTCCGAAGAGATTGTTTTCGTACGTTAAACGGCGAACGAAACGTAGTGATAGTATTACTGTTACACGAAAATTCAGATTTACTGGCTGAATCAGACCTAAAGAAAGCTGGGACTTTTTTAAACTATTTTGGTGAAACCTACTCTAAGTGTAGTGTTACAACTACTTGTCCCATTTACACCGAGATACCAGCCATAGGATCTGTGAATGTGACTGAGGAGACTGCTCTTCCATTGACAACTAACATAAAACCTTGTAAGATACCGGGCCCCGATGGGTTACATACACGCTTGCTGTCATCGCTTGCGGACATTATTCCAAGACCGCTCGCGACGCTCTTCAATATATCCCTTTCACTTGCTCAACTACCTAGAAACTGGAAAGACGCTGTAGTCAGCCCCATATTTAAGGTTGGTCAGAGACGGATCGTATTTAACTACCGGTCTGTCAGCCTAACCAGCGCAGTCGTTAAATCACTTGGAAAGATAATTCTGGTTAAATCACTGAATCACATAGATTCGCACAATCTGTTAACTACCGAGCAACATAGGTTTTGTAACAAGCGTTCATGCTCGACTAACTTACTTATTGCGAGAGAGGTTTGGACAACAGCCCTAGATAACGGCCTGTCTGTCGATGTGATATTCATAAATTTTAGCAAAGCGTTTGACAAGGTTTCACACAACTAAGTCTTATACAGAAGCTCTCGAGCTTCGAAATAACAGGTGCTATAATACAGGGATGGACAGGAAACTTTTTATGTGACCGCAGACAGAGAGTGAGAGTCAGTGGAACGCTATTGGAATGGAAGCCGGTCAAAAGTGGTGTACCCCAAGGCACCATCTTAGGCCCTCTACTTTTCCTTCTGTATGTTAATGAATTACCTCTATTGCTTAAGTCGTCTACATTATTGTTCGCGGATGGTGTCAAAATCTGGAGAACAATAAGAAGTGAGGCTAATCGTTTTCATCACCAAGCTGATTTAGACGAACTAGTTAGATGGGCTCATGATTGGGGCTTATAATTTAATTCCAAGAAGAGCGTGTTCATGCACATCGGGCACGATATTAGTTACCACTATGCCGTTAATGGTACATCGTTGCCACGCGTTCATGCGCATAAAGACTTAGGAGTAATTATAAGTCACGACTTAAAAACTACTACGCACTGCCACGCAGCTGCTTCCAAAGGTTATCGTGTGTCATGGTCAAGTCGCCGAGCTTTGACGAGATCTATCGAATTTTATATCCCACCTACGTAAGGCCACAGAATACTGTATCCAAGCAGCTAGCCCATGTCTGATAAATGATACCAATTCGCTTGAGAGTGCCAAGCGTGTGGGGACGAAATTAGTGGAGGGTCTTTCTAAACTCCTTTACGATTAGAGTTTGAAACGTCTAAACCTTTTCCCATTGTCTTCTTGTAGGACGAGAGGTGACCTTATACTAACATTTCGTATCTTTAATTATGATTTGGGAATTAATATGTTTTATCCTTTTGCTCCCTCCGACACTGATAATCTCCGAGGTCATAGCAAGAAGGTTCACAAACCTCGATCTAATAAACTAAAGGTGAGGTCCCGTTTTTCTCATCAACTGGTCAATGACTGGAAAGCCTTACCTCATCAGTGAACATTTTCAAGGAGAATCTGGACCTTGACTGGAAAGAAATCTGTCAGGATCCTTATTACTGAAAACTGACGCACCAATCGTTTAACGTCAGGTTGACCTTCAAGAGCTCAGTAACCTCCACCAATGGACAGTGCAAGTGGTAGTAAGACATGTGCTATCGCCATTTGCTACCGATTGCTTTCACTATTGAATTCGAGTGCATCCTATGCACTTACAAGATCGTTTGCTAACTTTCCATATCGTTCCTCTTCTACCAGATTTTCTCACTACTCTGCTTACTTCCTCAACTCAACATACTTTCAGCATAGACTGAAAGCACTGCACCACAAATGCTTACTGCTTGCAGAGAGGTTTATTTATCTCTAAAATACTCGTTCGTAGGCTGGAATTTAAGGTTTGTCTTTTAAAAACTTTGAAGCATCACTTACAGAAATGGTATTGTTAGTGAGACTTGCCTACCTGATGTCGTAATGTACGTCTTATGTACTTTAAGTAATTAGGTCTAGTGATTCAGAATTTGGCGGACGGGTTCCTACTATTTCGCTTTTGACGGTTTCTTCGAAGGGTTCATACCTCTCTGCGGCAGATAACCTAAAGCGGCTGTTTCTGTATGTTAATGAAAATGGTCACTGGTTATTGGTTTCACAATTGTAAGTGGCACTCATATTCGTTTAAATTTGTTTAGGAAGCTGCGCAAACAGGCATCGTGTCTTCTTTTTTCTCCGAGTGAGAAGGCATTACTTATTGGAGACAAGTCAGGAGATGTTTTCAAACTCCCTTTGTGCCTGGGGAAGCCCATTCACGATACAGACTTGACTCTTCTTTGCGGACACCTCTCATTACTTAGTCACATGGTAAGTGCTTATTTCTTCAGTATGCTGCGTCAGTCTGAATAAAATAGCAGGGTAATATAGTTAGACAGATTGAATCAAATGAGACTATGTCTTTCTAAATAGGTAACAAAGCAAAATTAACCAAAGAGAGCGACTGCTCATCCGTTACTGTCCGCTAATGTAGTCTGCTGGATTCCTCGGATGTGTGAAATAATAGTTCATATTATTGTGAGGGTACTCAGTGTGTGGACACAAAATTCATTCACAGTAGCCTCTCTGAATGAATGAATTCACACATTAAACTGAAATCGAGATAGCTTTCGAAAAACGAGTATTTTTGAAAATATATGTTGTAAATAACAAGGGTATGTTCGTTCGGTTTTCATGCTATTCAAGTCTCATTATTATTGTATTTCTGAGACGATATGACATTGTTTTTTGAAGTAGCTTTATCCTTCATTCCTTGCTTATCTTCCTCGTAAGACTTGTAGTATAAATAGTGACTTATCAGTCACTTTATCTACTAAAATGTGGCTCATACTTTATAGGGGCTAACGAGTACATTTATTAGGTTAACTAGGTAGGAGTTTCAACTGATTACAAAACTTCCGTGGAATGCTTTCAGTAGTTAATTACGGTTTCTCATTCTTCATATGGCATGAGTTATTATAATTGCTAACTTTCCGGTCAAATGATATTTCATGCCTCAAGTTCGTAATGGTAATCTTAGTTCATGTATCACAAATATTTCCGTTTATATGCATTTTTATAGTCAGATAGTGATACTAACGTTTATATTGCATTTTATTATGATAACGTATAATGTATATCCCGTTGCTTATCAGGCTATTTCGGAGGATGAAATGTACTTGGCGTCTTGTGATCGTGATGAAAAGATACGAATTAGTCGATTTTCCGAACCTTATGTTATCCAATCGTTTTGTCTTGGTCATAAATCGTATGTTTAGTGTGTTGGATTAACTTTTAAAAACAAACGACAGGTTCGTTTCTCAGCTTGGATTTATTCCTGACACTCGATATTTAATCTCAACAGGAGGAGTAAGTTGAATGGCTCACTACTTTGATTTGGTTTCATTCTTTATTCCACCTCTATATTTTCCTCAAAAGATTGGGACTGGTATTTGTCGCTCATCCTTTGTCATAGTTCCACAGAATTTTTTATTGTGTGATTGTTTTTGCCGTTTTATCGACCAAGATATTTCTTATAGTTTCCGAAATGCATAAGCTATCAGAAATAAGCTGACTATTGAGGTTCGAATGATATTATCTCAACATATGTAACTGCACACAATAAAGTAAATAGAATTTTTGTCATCTCAAAATATGTATCCTTAGGATTGGAATTGTGAAGCATTTTTACTGATAACCATGCCACTGTAATTCACGATGTGTTATTCCATCAATACACTCACAAGGCTTCCAAATTTTATGTTTGATGGAGTTTAAGACTGGCAGACAATTTTTACTTTTGATGCTGGTGGTGTTTTTCACTACTGATCTTGATCAACATGTTTTACATTTGCATGTAATCACTTTAACAAGTTATTTATAGTGTACAATTAAAAGCAGTTAGTCACAGTTCAGAAACCAGACAAATTCAACTAAAAGCTGAATATTTTTCCGAATATATCAAATTAGTCATAGTTGAAGGCTTTATTGTACGAGTATGATGGTTGAACCAGATAGTACTTTTAAAATCCTAGATTGAGGAGCCGCAATATTTCTCACTAATCCTGATTATGTGCATAATTCGCTTCATCCTCCAGCTCCTCTGGTTTTTCACCGTGATAGTAAAAAGTCAGTTTGTTAGAAATCGGTACGAAAAAATCTGGAAGATGCAGGAAAGACCTGTAGAATCTGAATGTATATGGGCCCATCTACGAACAAAGGACATCTGCCGTAGTAATGACCACTTATCAAATACATCAATCTGCAATAATTATCTCCCTTTAAGTTATGTAGCTGTCCCAACTTAGTTTGCGTTCATTGATTTTCAGCCTGTTTATCGTGTTTTTTGGTTCTCTAAGTTTCATGATAATTGAAGTTAGGTTTTTCATAAGCTGTAGTAGTTGACAGACATTACGAATGAGTCTAGTCTGATACTCGATGAAAGTAGTCCATCAAACTCCAAGTTGTTTCCGAGTGACGATCTGGAACTCAGTTGTTCAACGCTAAACAGAAACTTCAACAAAATTGCTCCCGGTTCTCGGTACTCAAGAGGTTTCTACTGTGATTCATCATTTCCATAGCATTTGATTTAGACAAAACCTTTTAAATGATACGGAGTTAGGAGAGTGGCTCCCTAAAAAACACCCCTTTACGGTTTGATGACCCGGGCAGTATCTCAGACCTCACGCAAATATAGTTAAAACTACTTTGTGTGTGCGCATATATATTTTGGTACCCTTTCGTGCCAATGTTAATAGGTTCGAACAATTAAGAACATGTGTTTCTTGTCCCATTTATAAATTTCAAAATTAGTGTCTGGGATCATTTGAAGCTTTCTTCCGGTGAAGCATGATTAGAAAAGGTTGAATTTCGTGTAAAGTGGTTAGGAAGGGCTTTGTTTAATGTTTCATTGGTAGTCCTAAACATGACTGATTTGTCAATAAAACTCTGAGGCTCGTCTGATATTTTCAATTTATATCACTAGCTCAGGTTAAATGTATATAAGCTACATCATGATAAATAATAAATGCGTAAACCTAGCCGTGATCGATATTAAACTATCTAAGCTAGTGGTCTTTATCATTTTGTAATATGAAAATTTAGTTGCAGTAGGGCACCAACAAAAAATAATCCGTACCAATGCAGAGATAATTTGAACTGATACGCATTTGTGCAAAAATCTATGATTTTTCTGTTGGCTTACATTGTCTACTTTCCTTCTTAATCTAGGATGGATGTATGAGTATTTGGAATTGTGAGTCGGGTCATTGTCTATCATCGTATCATGTTTCAAAAAGTGAACTTCCATCTCTTTCAGTTTCTACGGATTTGCAGTTCGATTTTAAGTCGGAAGCTGTTGTTTCTAGGTTATATGCTATCAAAGATGTTGTCGTTTGTTGTTTTTTATCGTAAGTTGAACTTTTAAGATAGATTATCTTTTTTTCTTACCTGCTAGGCTGTCTATAAAGGTGTTAGATACCAACACAAAACCTTATGAAATACTGCACTTTCAAGTTGTATACCAATCAGAAATCTCATGTATTGTACTAAGTTTAAATAGCTTTTACAATGTTACCGTCCATGATGAAAGGAATTTTAATTTTTTGAAACAAATTCCCAGACAAGAATGGAATTAAATTGGGATCCGAACTCACAAAGTAAACTTGTGGATACTGAATTAGTATTGAATTCAAGGTGAAAGTGCACTTCTTGACGATTATTCAATAATCTCTTTTGCGTCACCATCAACTCTAAAGTACGATACTGGCCGAATTAGGATTAGGTTGGGTAAAGTTTAAAAATGTCCAGATCAAAGTTGCCACTGGGTTCCACAGGTTTTGTCTTGGTCTTACCTTTAGAAGATCCAGATTTTTCTGTATTAGGCATTAAATACGACAGATGAAGCGTAACAGTAAAAAACCCACTCATTCTATCATTAGATCCTGAATGTTTTGTAGTTCGTGAATCACTTCCCATTCTAAACCTGTGCCGTCTTTATTTGTTTTCGTAGTTTCCCACTTCTATTCTTTTTTCTGTGCTGTCACGAAGTGTACAGGCTTCATGCTACATACGTTTGTATAAAATTCTACATCAACATACGTAACCAGCTCTTTGTCTCACCGAATTTAATAAACAGTCATCACTTCGAAAAATCTGGAATCTTATGTTGGGTATTTTCAGTTTTCCGTTTAAAGGGATTAAAGGTGGTATGTTATTAAGATCGTAGAGCGGAGTCGTGCTATCGGCTGTACTGGAAATTGGCAACAGTAAAATGTTTATCATAACTCACTCATTAGAATAATCATTGCACTAAAAACAAGTTTGAAACAGATGACATAACTTTCCCTATTGTAATCACACCATATTATGGATGAAAACTAACAATTTAACTCTGTTACGTTGGTTGCCTTCAAGCACATAACACTGATTTCTAAGACTGCTGATATAAAGTTTTAAATATTGGTACTCAGACATTATTGATTCAGTCTGAGCGAACTGTTATGCTCAAGTACCTTTCGCCAGAGCCACCACTATCACTACTTTGATCCATCTTTTCATCAATGTTCTCCTAGAAATAACACTTCCGCTAACTTTTCATAGGGTCAATCTCAAACTGGGAAGTTTGTTTATCGACTTAGAATATGTAGATTATATAGCCTTATTTCGTGATGCTGACAAAATGTAGTCTTTTGATCGAAATGACACAGCATTACAAACATTTGTCATACGCTTATCTCCTCCTAAAGGTCAAATATTCCTCTACAATTGGTTTGCTTTAACGCCTGAACCACTGATAAAAATTGAAGTAGTTGAGTGTAGTAATCACTTATTTTGAAAGCCTCATAAATCTTGTAGGGTCGGTGTGTGATAAAATCTCGGCAAATATTCGGAAAGCACAGTTAGCCTTTATCAACTTGCGTCACTTATGGCGGAGTTGGCATGCCCTCCTGACAGTCAAAGGGGACTATATATTGTTATGTTGGTTTGTTCTCTGAGCTGGATGGTTTGGTCGTGGAGCTTTCATCGTCCTTCTGAACGACATCATCAGCACAAACTTCAGGTAGAAGTGAAGTGTTTGAATTTCTCCACAAGTGATTCACAGCTTGTCCTCTGCACCTCGATGTTGATTGGTTCTTATTGACCTTAAATCTGTCATTGTTTATTTCTTTGTTTTGATTGTCTCTCCTATTGTTTTGATTTTTGTTCCTATGTTCCTGCATAATTTTCTTGATTGGTTGATAGATTGGATTGATTTCAATGTGTTTGTTTATTGCTGATTGACCTATATATTGTGCTCAACAGTTTGCTCTGCATTATGTTATATCTGTGCAACATAGTCTTTTAAGGTAAAAGACGTGCATAAGTTTTTTGTGTGAACTTTGTTGGCAGACTATCTGGTTGTGATCCACGTGATATTTACGATCAATTATTGGAAACTGAGATATGACTCAGAATAGTCCACGATGTATTTACTTTTTATCCTCTTTACACTTTTAAATTCCAGTATTCATACTTTCTTTTCAAACCATATTCTTGAAATGTAGTCTTTTTTATTATTGGAACTACATTATTTAGATCTCTTATTATTTTCAATCCGTCGTGCTACCGTAGTATAATAACTTGCCTCACGTACATTTGTCCTAGGCTGTTTGTTGGTGATGTCTGTCTGTTTTTAAGTTTGAGGGGGAACCTTGATGCTATACTGCTAGTAACATAATCTATTTTCACTTCACTTGCCGAAAAAATCTTATTTACAGCAACCCAGTGCTGATGGCGTTTCATATTCATATAACTGAAGATGAAGTTGTCTCTTGGGGATCGAAAGCTTTTACTTCCACAGAAGATAAAATGCCACTTACGGATATAGCTTTATGTTCAAATGATAATCGTATTATTGGATTGTGTTCTACTGGGACTAGTGTTCGTCTCTACTCCTGGAAATTGATTATTCAATACGATGCTTGCCAACCATCTTGCTTTGTCAAATGGGATGTTGTAAGTGTTAGATAATATTTTCTTATTTAATTAAAAGAATACGATAAATACTAGGAAAACAACATTGTTTAGAGCAAAATGCAGCATATGTAATAACAGAAGAAAATATTTATTTATTTATTTTAACATATAAATATTGGTACAAGGAAGCACCAGATATATATACGCCGCACAAATCTCATTTGGTTTGTGTGAGGGCTGTGATACTGCACAGGTGCCCAAACTGAAGCAGGTGATTTTCTTAGGGTGCCACACCCGGAGTCTTTGACCTGAAGATCTGATCCACAAGTCAGTGGAGCATCGTGAGGAGATGCAGTCACATGGTAGCCGGTGACCAATGATTGATTCATACACCATTTGTTCCCTCAGGATACTGGAGGCCATGTGCATCATTGGTTTGTAATCAGGGTTTTCCTACTCCCCTAGGTGAACTTTCCGTGTCCACCAAACCGGTTAAAGCGCCGGACATTCGCTTTCCGTCCTCTCAGTTTCGTAAACAACACCCCTGGTGCGAGAAGGCAGTGAGTAGGACTTGTGTGGCAGATTCTATATACGCGTGACCATATGAGAGCATTTGTAGAGGGAGAGTGGACTCCCCACTCTAGGCCGTACCAGGGCATTCGGGGACACAGAAGGAAAGAAGTGAAGATTGTATTAAAGCAACAGGAAAGAATTTGTTTTTCACACAGTCACCAATGAGCACAATTTTAAGCCATATCAGAATGTAATGTAATTATGAATATTGAGCCCATAGTGACATATTTCATTCCACATACAATTGACTGTGCAATAGGATTTGTACAATACATTTGTTATGCTTCAGGGTTTGTTGTGAAGACGTTATGGTTGTTGAAGTGGTATATATAATGCTGATTAATAAGTGATTGACTGATGACAACAGTGTAGTAACTTTTCCCCTCAATAAAGCCGAATAACAATCATAACAAAATAAATTGGATTCATTTCTTTTATTGACTGTCTTCCATTACATAGTTTTAGTCTAAAATTTCAGTTGAAAGTGATGAGTCCAATCTGGAGTTTAATTATTGTCTTCCAGACCGATCCGATCGTAGTATATGTAGTAGTGCAGAACGTGGATCTGTATTATTATTATTACTGGCTTTATTCAATATTATATTTTTGGTACAATATAGAATTCTCAGCACAAAGTATTTCAGTAAGTTTGCGTTTCTTACTTCTTGGTCAGTCCTGACGCTAAATATTGAGTGACCACCAGTTAGAAGTTGTCAGTCCAATAAATAGATATCTGAATAATGTACATTCTTTTTGCTGCGTATTGCCAGCAACCATGATATCTCTGGTTGGACCTTTTGTAACCTTTACAGCGAAAGGTCTTACACTTTTCAGAAACGCACCTGAATAGGTTGTGCGATTAATAGCCGTAATGATGTATTGAAACAAACAAAATTACATAAGTTGTTGAAATATGTAGATGACAGAAACAGGTAGCCCAGATGTTTAAGCAGACTGCCTACTCATTTTCACCAAAGTTGTTTCGCTCCATAGTTAAGGTATTACTGTTTAACGCTTATTATATGTAATTTCAAGAAAGATCCAAATGATAAAGTTTTATCCTTTTTATTAAATAGCCTCAAATTGTTGATTGCATATCAGACAACTTCCTTCTACAAGTTCCAGGTAAGTAGTTTTATGTCTTATATGTACTGTCAAAACTATGGATGTTTTACTTACATAATTAGTGCATCTTAAATACGCTTGGCCAATAAACTATCATAATTTTGGTTGTAAAATAAATTGTAATAGGTTAAATAATCATAAACTCCGCCTGCAGCCCTTCTTGGTTTACAGACGGTCCCAAGACTGGGTAAAGGAAAAGAGTTGGGTATGAGGTGTCCCATAAAAAACAGCCTTGCTTGGATAAGCAGAATAAACAATTTGGACAATTTACAATCTGCTCTGCGAGTTGAAGGAACTTCATTCAGAAGAATTATGATACCTTAGATGAAAGCCGAGATTCTTCAGAAATCACGAATCCGATTCCCTTTGTGACAACCAGAACAACAATTAACACTGGTATATGGAATGTCCGGACAATGTGGAAGACTGGGAAGACCAGTCAAATAGCTACGAGAATGAGGAGGTACAACTTGACAATACTCGGAATCAGCGAAACCCATTGCCTCCAAGCTAGACAGGAAAGGTTAGATCCAGGAGAGATGCTGTTGCACTCTGGTCGCAAAGAAAAAAATACTCCGTAGACATAGGGAGTTGCTCCGATGCTGTCCAAAGAAGCACGAAAAGTACTTATAGGATGGGGATCTCACGGAGTCAAAATCTGTTATAACTTGTAACCTGCCTGCGTGCCGAGTTAATATATGACGTGACGATGCCGCCAATTAAAGAGCAGTGAATTATCGATCGGACCAATGACACGAAACCCGTACGAGTAGTCTAGAGTACTTGTCAGTTCTGTTTTCTGCCTAACCCAGCCAGTTAAGTCTAGAACACCAATAACAGTCTCTGCAATATGAATCATTTATTTCAAATATACTGGGTTTATATACCAATCAGACAGACCACATCGTACTATGTTATTCACCCACCAATGATAGCAATAAAGACGATAAAGATCAGTTTTATGAGACGCTGCAGTCGATCATAGAGAAATGTCCATAAAAGGAAGAACGAGGAGACAGTAATTAACAACAATCGAACGAGGGACTAAAACTTCTCGTGGTCTTGCTAATGTGAGTATAGCACCAATTTCGAAAGGAGAACAGGCTTTTATGTGCTAAATCGCGGTGAACAGTCACTTATGTTCTGTCTGACTAAGGGGATTTTAAGAAATCTACAGTTTTAAAGTACAAGTTAATATCTGTTTGTCGTCTGTTTTTTAATCCTATCACCGGTTACTGTTTGGATAAATAAAATGATGGGTTTCACAAAATGCCCTCTGACCTTGAAAGAGCTAAATGCTCTGTCATAGTTATCGTATCGGGTGATTTTTAATGCTGAGGTGTAAAGAAGTTGAGTGTATCATTCACTTTACTTATCATAAAGGTCTCATAAGTTGTGGTATGTTGATTATTATTATTATTATTATTATTATTTGAACACATAAATATTGGTACAAGGAAGCACCAGATACATATGCTCCACACAAATCTCATTTGATTTGTGTGAGGGCTGTGATACTGTCCAGGTGCCCAAACTGAAGCAGGTGGTTTTCTTAGGTGGCCACACTCGGAGCCTTTGACCTAAAGGTCTGATCCACAAGGCAGTGGAGCATTGTAAGGAGATGCAGTCCCATGGTAGCTGGTTACCAACTATTGATTCATACACCATTTGTTCCCTCAGGATACTGGAGGCCATGTGCATCATTGGTTTGTAATCAGGGTTTTCCAACTCCCCTAGGTGGATTCACCGTGTCCACCAAACCGGTTAAAGCGCCGGACATTCGCTTTTCGTCTTCTCAATTTTGTAAACAACAGTAATGCCACTGTGAGAAGGCAGTGAGTAGGACTTGTGTGGCAGAGGCTGTGACCGTGTGAGAGCATGCCGAGAGAGAGGGCGGGCCCTCCCCACTCTGGGCTGTACCACGGCATTGAGGGGCCATGTTGTTAGTGTTTAGTAAAATCTCAACAGAGGTTCAGAAAGTTTGTTTAGGTTTCGCCAGATAATTAAAATTCAAAATGTGATTTATTTACAAAGGATTGTATAAGAAAACGATGATTATGAAGTACGTTCCGGTTTAACCGATGATTATTAAGATATAAAAAGAAATTTGACACTCAATGATTATTCACTTTTGCTTTCGTCTATCTCGTTGCAATATGAGAAATCAGTTGTTTTCTTTTTGTTTGTTTGTTTAATATTCTTCAGTTCCAAGTCCCCGAACGGAACTTTTAAAATTATTCTTCAAGTGTACAGATAATAGCTCAATGATACAAGCGTATGAATCAAATAAACAATTACATCAACACAATGTAACTCAACGTCATATACGTAGTCAAAAAATGCGCAAATTGAATAAAACTCTACAGAATTCTGTTGATAAAGAATTAAATGTATAAAAAACCATTCACTATCTGATTATTGTTAATATTGTTGTCTTGGCTTGTAGACCTAATGTAATGTTGTAGATCTTTAGTGGCAATTATTTTGCAGGCGACTTCTATGATTTATTATTTACATAGAAACGTGGATATTAAGGAAAGTTTATTGTAGTTAACATACACCACCACATTTGTTGCCATAAAGTCTATCGGAAAATGTAAGATTTTTTACGATCGTCCCTTGATTGATAAGTTAATCACCAGTACCATGCAGCTCTTATCGATATAAGCGTATTCTTTTATTGATCGTCTATCACCGTTATTTCAATGCTATATCTTGTGGCCGAGTGGATGCCTTGCTAACGTATGACGTGATAAGACCGCCAATCAGAGAGCAGTGAATTATCAATTGGAACAGTGACACACGAAAATCGCACGAACACTTTAGAGTGCTTATCAGTCCTACTTTCTGCCTAGCCCAGCCAGTTAAGTCCAGAACACCAATAAAAGTCTCTGTGGTATGAATCATTTATTTCAAGCATGCTGAGTGTATATACCAAACAGACTGACCACATCGTACCAATAAAATAGGAAATAACATTTGTACAAGATTCAGCCAAATGTGGCTGTGAATGTGGGAGACAGCAATTAGTAGACTAGGGGTAAATCAAGAATGGTAAATCCTATAATAATAGTCTACAGTTCAAAATAAAGCTTATAATAAGGGGGATACGAATATGAATAGTTATTTTGCAATTATACGATAAAAAATATATGCATAATATTGGTCCATAAATGGCTCCCAAAGTTACTATTCACTATTGTTATCGGGATATAACATTCAAAGTAAAGGAAAGCAAATTGATATATTAGTGTTTTCACCTACAAATCTGCAAAACTTTTGTTTTTACGCCAACCTATTCTTTGCTGTCTCAATCCTTTATTCTTTGAATTCAAGAAAAGTTTAGAATAAATTCTAGCGAGTTACTGTCAAATTCACATACTTTGGTGTCTTACAATGTTAGGGCTCCGGGTCAGTACAATTAACCAGAAATATTCACTTCCTAAGTTTATTTATTTTATTTGGTCACATAAATATTGGTACAAGGAGGCACCATATACATATGCGCCACACAAGTCACTTGATTTGTGTGTGAGCTATGATACTGTCCGAGTGTCCATACCGAAGCAGGTGGTTTTTTTAGGGGGCCACAACTAGAGCCTTCGAACTAAAGGTCTGATCCACAAGGCAGTGGAGAATCGTGAGGAGATACAGTCCCGTGGTAGCCAGTGACCGACGATTGGTTCATACGCCATTTGTTCCTTCAGGATACTTGAGCCAGCCCATGTGCACTATTGGTTTGTAATCAGGGTTTTCCAACTCCCCTAGGCTGACTCTCTGTGTCCACCAACCTGGTTAAAGCTCCGGACATTTACTTTTCGTTCTCTCAATTTCGTAAACAACAGTAATGCCACGAGAAGGCAGTTAGTAGAACTTGCCTTGAATTGAATCTAATGTTTGTTATCATTTTTGAAAATGAAACTTTATTTTATGAGTATTAAATCGCTACGAAAATACTATAAAAGAATGTTATATGATAACATTACTCTTCTGTGTAATCAACTTTTACATGGATAGAACCATCAAGTAAATTTTGATTGTTCGTAGATGTAATGATTTTGTGATGACACTGTGGTGTAGGTTGCTTATATCCACATAAGTAGTGTATTACGATGGTTCAGACAGAGAATATATTTCAGTAGAAGATCGACAAGCACAGAACAGAAACGAAACGCAATTGGTATGAAATTGCATGGACAATAATAATCGAAGACGATGGACTGGTATTTGCAGAAGGAACGGTCAAAATTGAGACAATTGATTGATAGTTTGCAAATGAACTGTTTACTGTATGGTTGTCAGGTTTTAGTGAGATAGTCTGTAATTTTCGTGTCAATTACATTCAATTGTCATCACTCGTGTTCTTGTTCACTATAATGTGACTCCTTTTTCCAGTATGCTACTTCGCATCCCGTCTATGGAACATCAGGTTAGACTCTGATAGTTCATACTTTAAATAGATATCTATAGGAAGTGTTTATTCAGGACTGTTACTCCTTTTGAAGCACTTATTTGGACTCTGATAATATCCTACTATGTGCTTAAATTATTCCGCATTTTGGCGGTCCGTGAAACGTGGTGGTTAAGTTAAACTAACCAGTTAGTCACAGCAACCGTATATAGTAACTTGCGATAGCTATTCCAAATCTTACAAACCAATTAAACCTCACTTCCAATCAAACAATCCTAGGCTGACAGTACATCAATTAGACATCTTTAAAGAGCATTTGAGCGCTGTGCCGAATACTTTGAATGTTTATACAATGTATCCGTTAACATACCAAATCCAAGAAAACTATTCTGCTTCCGTTACTCTGTTTGAGATGGATTATATTTTCGAGTGTCTTAACACACTTCTCTGGATGCTGGACTGATAACATAATTCCAATTTTTATCAAGAAGTTAAATAAAGAATTGTCAGTGAAATTTTCTAAAAATGTTAAGTTTTTGAATTAAAATGATTTATAACTGAGAAGGACATGAAAACAAGAACTAGAACCATGATAGAAGAAAAGGCCAAATAAACTTTGGTCGAATGACTCTTGTCAGTCAGCTAAAACATAGGACCAGGCACATATGCATCTGTTGAAGTTGCCACACTTCATTAACACAACAAGGCGAATACCAAATCCATAGAAGTAGTTACTTCAAGGGTATTAATGTATAAAAGAAAGGTAGCATATTAGGATATAATACATGAAAGAGAATTAGTTCGTAGAAAGAAGGGTATAAAGTAATTTTAATCTCACAGTTTAAGAGAAGACAAAAAGTGTAAATACCTACGCAATGAGTCATGTCACTCATAGGAATGGCTATTGTTGTATTATGAAACTTTGTGTATTAGTTACTTGTTTCAAGCCTATTTGATAATATTATCCAATGAGTGATCAACCGACCTAAATATATAATCACACATTGGCAGGTGGATTTATTATGGACATACAAGGGGTCAGATGCAGGGGCTTATGTTCTGTGTTGTCAATGAACGGCCCTCACACAAAACAGTGGCAACTACGACTGGGAAAATGTCTCCTGCTACAACGCTCTCTCAGACAAATCTTATTCACCATCATATGATGACAATCGTTTTTATTTCTTTTATACTACGTCACTTATGTATTACCCTTTATTCTCATTTTACGTACTTTATTTCCCAACTTGTACAGTAGCTCGCCTGTGATGGAAACCCTTTCCTATCTAAACGGTCTCAAGTCACTGACTGGTCGAAGGTTGAATGCTACCACCAGCTACGAAAACTGAAACCACCTATGCGATTCAAGCTGGTCTTTTTCAACGTTCGCACACTAATGTTGATCGGAAAACAGATAAGGTTTGCTTATGTCCTTAGAAAGTCTCACCATCGACGTCTTTTAGCTCTCCGAGACCCTTATTCAAGATTTAATGAAGCACAAAAAATTCGCTGTCCATCTGTTATTTGGAAATGCTTGTTTCACGTGCGTTTATCTGGGGACCACGGGACATCGTCTGGTTTTGCTGGGATTAGTGTTTCACTAAGCGTTACAGCTGAGGCGACTTTAGGTTAGAAAGCTCCATCAAAGTATGGAGAGATCGGCGTGGCAAACGATGTGTTTTCGTCATCTTCACCTACGCCACGACAGATTACAGCCCGGATGTGATTGAGGAAGAGTTTTACCACCGGTTAACAGTTCTACAGAAACTGTGTTCGACAGATATTGTAGTACTAATCGCAGACTTAAACACACATCAAGTTTCTAAGCACAGACAAGAGTCGTTTAGGTGGCCGATGGGGACTTGTTGGTCGTAGGTCAGATAACGGTGACCATCTACTGCAACTGTGCGTAGACCACAACCTGTTTCTGACTAGCACTAACTATCGGCACAGTCATCAATGTGCTACCTGGAGTCCTCCCTCAGCATCTCAAGCCTGGACGCAGATTGATCACATCGCGATCAGCTACTACTGGCGTGGTTGCTTACAAGACTGCCGCTCCTTTTGGGGTACCTATCCGGACTCCGATCATGCCCGTGTTTGTGATGATCTTTATTTTTCACTGGCTAAGAAATTAATTGTCCTAAACGGTTCGATGTCAGTAAATTTGTTACAGCTTCTGTTGCAACTAAATATCAAACCGAGCTAGGTTCAGGACTAGTTACCATTCCACTGAAAGTATGGGAGAACATTTGTTGCAGTTGCATGACGCCATGAAAATGGCCAGTAAGTTCGCTTGCGGTCTTGCGAAACACCCCGCTTATAAGCACTGGGTCTTTTCAGGTTCCTTGCAATTCGTTGAAGGCCGTCGGTCTACTCCGTGTGACGTTGATTTTGGCCACAGAAGAAGACCGTTGCGTAATGAAATTGGGCAAAGATTACGTAAGGACCGAGAGGCTTGGTAGTCAGAGTGTGCTAATGAGTTGGAAGCAAAAATTGCATCTGGTAACTGCTGAAAGCTCTTTCGACTTGTAGTGCAATGCTATTCTAATCTTTCACCTCGATAACCGTTATAATACCAATCTTAACGGTGCATGAAATCAGAAGGCAAAGAGAAGATGCAACTACAGTTTTTTTATCAAATAACGCAGGCCTCAAAGCTATAAGCACATGAGTAAGTATCAGCGAGCAAGCACGAGCAATTACATAGGCAAATTTATAGTCAAGTTGTATAAGGGCACAGCAAGGCAAAGCAAAAGCTAATAATAAGATTTGAGTGCATACATATATGAGGAGGAGGATGAGTCGTCGAATGGTATTTAAGCAATCAACGTTTTGGCTAGAGTCTGTGTCATGTGCTCTAGTGATCATAACAATACAAAGAAATATGCGAATTGTTACTATTCAAATGACAATGTCTGTTAAGTGAGTTAATAAAAGGGCTTAACCAAAATTAACCATAGTCGATACTGAGTGTAGGATAGT